GTAGGTAACTTTTTCTAAATACTGCATTAAGTTTCAATCTTATTAATCTCAAATATGATTAAAAGATAGTTCATCGGATTATGTCGGTCCGGTCCGGTCGGTTCAGACAAATCAACGGGTCGGGTTGGACCGGACCGTTGTGATTAATGTGTCGGTCCAGGCGGGCCCATCTAGTTGGCGGGTCGCAACGGGCCGGGTCGGTCCATGAAAAGTTGGACCGTTGCGACCCCTGATGCAGAGTACGAAATCATTTTTATCTCTACTCTTTTTTACACAAGAAGGGTCTCTTCACAAAGAACGTGTAATTCCCATAGAAATGACTAGATTGTTAAAGATGGCGTTTACTTGATCAGCGAATGTAAGGTTCCAACAGTGTTCATGCTTCCATATTAGAACTCCAACTACTGACAATATTGATGATACGATTGTGAGAAAATTAACTATCCAGGAGAATGAATCCTAGCCTAGGATCCGATGAGTTCCGATCGGTTCCTATTGGAATCTGACGGAGCTCTTTGGAAGGCGCAAGGAAACTATCGGATTATCGTCGAATTCCTGGTTCCGGAATCGATATCGGATCCTAATATCGGAAACTAATAAAATCCGATAGTAGCCGTCAATCGGAACCGGAATGCGTCGGATTTCATTGGTTCCGACAATCGGATGTCATTGGAAATACGACTGTCGGATCCGACATTGATTCCTCAACCAGGAATCCAACGGGATTTCGTCGAATGGTAGGACCCCATAGAATCCGATGGGATTCGGTATCGGATTGATTCACCTGGGTACAAAAAAGATGAGAAGTTATCAATGCCTGTTCAATTGTATAATATCAATGTTGTGGTGTAATTATCCAAAAGATACTAAAGTCGAAAATTCGATACATTTGATGATTAAGAATACAGATGAAATAATAATCCATATAATTTACTATGTCAGATCGGCAGTGTTCTATGTTCCAGAATAAAATATTGAGCAAATTTTTTAGTTCTAATTGAACTCAACTGAAAAACAGTTGCTTGAATCTAAATTTTTCAGTGATATTTTAAATGAATCATTTGCCGAATAAAAAACAAAGCATGAAAGACAAAAATATGGTACACATATGATTCGCAGTGTAAAAAGAAAACTATTCATAGAAAAATCAGTTCGGTAACATAAAAAAATATTTATTCTAGCTATTAATTATTGAACAGTGTAATCATAGTCTATCGAGAAAAATCTTCGAGGAAGTCGAGTAACAATGAATGAATCGTTTAATAGATAAAGAAAACGAATGTGATCTATGAGCAATTGGTAAAAGAATCGAAATTCAACAAAATGAATCGTATTGGCTAAGTAATTAAGAAAGATTTTCTTGTGTAAATAATGCTGAAGAAACAGTAATGATTCAGCAAAGTTCAATCGAACGATCATCGTTATGCGTATTTCTCAGTGTTAGAGGTGCGAAGTGATTCAATTCAACAAAATGATGATTCATGGGAGGATTTTAGCATTGTACACTTCAACAAAATAGATAGATAGCATACAGAATATTTCAATGATCCATATCGTACTGCTAAAGAAATATCATTAAGTGAAACAATTCACCTTTGTTGTGGTTCTCTAAGCACTGAGCATATCGGGGTAAATGGAATATCATCTTCAACAGCTACCAATTTATGATATCGAATGGTACGTCATTGAAATACGATGCAGATAAGCAAACAGGTCTAATAGTCCGTAGCAATGTTCGATATGTCGTTAAGGGTTCGGCATACTTAACAGTTCGATTATTCAATCTCCGCATCATTATTTTTCACTGATAAATACATGCTGAAACACAAAATCGAACTAACTGACATTGCAAGAATTGAAATGTTAAAGTAAAGTTTGACTGTTAATCTATTTTTTATCTTTAAAGAATTAATCGAAGTGATGTCCTTCACGAATGGACCGAAAGATAGAATGCAAGCAAGTGATGTGTCAGACTGAGAATAATATCATACCCTACAGATAATCGAGAAAGATTGCTTATTACAAACTTACCAAAGAAGTAAATAATCTCTACGGATCACAATACATGTTGCGATGAGGAAAATATGCAGGTTGATCGCAACATCGACTTGCCAAAGCAATACTTTCATTTACCCAGGAGGATCATCCTGGCGTCTGAAAGGCCATCGGAAACGGCTATAAAACGGCATTAATTTTCACCCTATTTCGCCGTAGTCCGTCAGCTCGTTTTACGGGCCGTTTTTTTATGCTAGAAAACGGCCATCGCTTTTAACACTATTCTCTTCGTTTTCCGAGCTGACGGGAAAAGGCGCCATTTTTTAACGTTTTACATCGTTTTTATGCTGTTTCAGGCCGTTTTCTTTCACCTGGGAAGTCATCGATATACTTTTCAATAATGTGTGAACTATAAAGACGATATATTTGCTGATAATGTTACAAACCAATGAAGATTGATACATAAGCAAAATGAATTCTTCAATCATACTTCTACCATGGTATATCAACCATAGCTATTTTTGAACTGAGTAGCAATCTATTGTTGGAATCACATTGTTAGTAGTAATCTATATGTGACATAGTTAGAAGTATTACGTAGCATAGAAACGTTTGTAATTGCTTGGAAGAATTATATTAAGTAAAGTTTCTAGCTTACAATTGCAGTGACTACAATAACTTCTCAAGATTACAATCATTTTGAATTCGGATGCATAAAAGATATAGAAATCAACGCTACTGATTAGCGGCTTTCAAAAGAAAAATTCGTACATTGAGCACCATAAAACTATGATAATTGAATAGCAATTTTATTGAAAAGAAGTTGATTCTTATCAGTTACTGTATGTTCTATTGATGTTTTCAGAAAACAATTCTTTATTCTGTATTCAATGTTTTTGTTTCATAATCAACAAAACAAGCAAACGGATTCATTAGATTACGTTCATGTTGAGGTTGAAACAGAACACAATAAGCACCAGGAAAAAAGTCTTTGATATTTTCTTCTTGAATAGCACCTACAATAAATCAATAGAAATGGATTGTTTAGGTTTTATTTTCTACAACATAACAGATGAATAGTTGTATACCAGTGCAAATAATATGTTTACATTGAGGTGAAGTCTTTCCAATGAATTTAACGAGACGAGAGACTTTCTCAAAACATTCTCGAGAAAGAAATGGCGGATCAATAATTAAAACATCGAATGTATGTTTCAAAGATACATAATTTTGTTCTATTCGATCATCATCATTATAATCATATTCAATAAAAGAATTACTATCAGTAGAAAAACGAGTATCATATTCGAATAGAATATTATCCATCTCCGGATGTTCCTATTTAGACATTAACGATGTTAATATATCAATCATTATAGAATATACTTTACTTTACGCATGAGACTCCACACAGTTGGACATGCAATGCAAGCACATCTAAAAGATGAAAAAACCGCGCGAAGTGTTTTTTTTTAAATATAATACAGTAGAAAATCATTCGAATTGTCTTACTTTCCATTTTGAGGTAAAATGGCTATTACTTCATTCATCAATCGTGTAGCTGTTTCATTATTGTACCAAAATTGACTTAGTTGCTAAATAAATAAAAAATGAATAAATTTACAAATCGTTTTTTATACAAAAGTATTTATTTGAAACGATCGCAAGTCTATGAGAAAATAGACGCTATGCTTAATTAAAATGCTAGAATACGATGGACTATAGATCTATACTTCATAAATTCAAATAGCATGATGTAAATACGAAAGAAAACAAAATACTTATTCTCATCTGAAAACTATCTTATCTTGATGATTAGATTTCTTAAATGATTAAATAAAGAATTGAATCAATAGGTATTATAATGATTACTATGTTTCAACGAACTTTTGAAGCACAGTTTTAAGAATTCAAATAACAAGGAAAAAAATTCCTATGAAAATCTTTAAAAACTGCGTAGTCCAACAATGATATATTAATAATTGGTACGTAGAATAGAAAATTTATTGTCTATTGTAATTACTATTTGAATTTTGACAAATTACTGGAAAAAAATCAATAGAATATTTGTCTTATAACTTTAAATTCTATTACATGCACTTGTAATCTTTCCAAAAGAAAATAAAAGCTACATATGATACGAAATTAATTAGAGCATGACAAAACTTTTGCATACGAGAATTCAAATGAGATAATTGAACATTTTCAAAAATAGAATAAAATTTCTATGATGATTGTTCGTTTCAATATTTTGTTTTAATAATATTTCTTCCAACTCTGAAAATACTATTTTAATGAATTCGACTAACCCAATCTTCTTCAGGTACATTATTTGTTTTATTATTTTCTTGTTCTTGCTGCCATTCCTGAAGAGCCTTCAATGTTTCAGCTGACAATTGAGGTGGACCATCATCGTCGTCGATATTCATCGAAAAATAGAAAGAAAAACAGACACTCTAGATTTTCTATTTATTTTACAAATCAATGCTAATGCTGCCTAATATAGTTTTCTCTTAAAGTTGTAGAAATAAAAATTAACAAAATTAAAACAAAAAAAAAACACATCGACTCATTTTTGTAATGTGTCTTCATGCATTGATCTATCCTACTGCTCTATTTATTTCCCATCAATATTAACATCTTGTTTTGAATCGTCACGAAGTTTTCTGTGTACTCGTTGTGCATTCCAAACTGATGCATAATAACCATTTGGCTTCGTCAGCAATTCATCATGTGTACCTTGTTCCAGAACTTTTCCTTGGTCCAAAACAATAATATTATCACAGTCAGTTACTGTACTTAAGCGATGTGCAATAACAATTGATGTCCGATTTTTGGTTAATTTTTGAAGAGAATTTAAAATAGCCTAAGAATGAAAAGTAAACAGATAAAAAAAAAGTGAAAGACCAAAATAAGCAAATAGCTACTGATTCAGTTGTTGTATCTAAATGAGCAGTAGCTTCATCATAAATAAGAATAACTGGATTTTTTAGAAGCGCTCGAGCAATACTGATGCGTTGCTTTTCACCGCCTAGATCAATTAGAAAGAATCATCGAAATTATTGAATTCTTTTGATAGAAACCTCGCATACCTGATAATTTAAGTCCACGTTCTCCAACAACAGTTTCATATTTTTTTGGCATGCGTAAAATAGCATTATGTACTTCAGCGAGTTTCGCTGCTTCGTAAACATCTTCTTTGCATGCTTTTAAATTTCCATAATTAATATTATAATAGATATCGTCATGAAATAGAATGGAATCCTATGGATAAATAACGTATATTTCAAGGATTTTAAGTAGAAAAAAGTTTTATGACTAACTTGTGGTACAACTCCAATAGATTTACGTAAACTATCAAGTGACACTTGTTGAATATTTTGGTTATTTACACGAATTATTCCGCTTTGTGGATCATAGAATCGATACAGAAGACGAACGATTGTCGATTTACTAAATATAAAAATATTTACAAGTTCAATTTTGTTTTTGTTTTGCTAAATATGCATGAAAATTTACCCAGAACCTGATCCACCAACAATAGCTACTTTGTGTCCTGATGGAACAGTAAATGAAATATTATCAAGAATCTTTTGTCCATCAACGTAACCAAAAGTAACATTATCGAAAATAATTGATGAATTCTCTGAATCGATATTGATTGGAATAGCGCTCTCCTTGTCCTTATTATTCAATTAAATAAATCTTTAAAAAATGAAATAAAAATTCAAGTTACTTTCACAGCTGCTTGAATCATGGTTAAACGAAACATTGTTTCCATATCAACAATGGATTGTTTAACTTCACGATAAACTGAACCCAAAAAATTCAATGGTAATGATAATTGAAATACAAGTCCATTCACAGCAACTAAATCACCAACTGTCATAGAACCACTACTTATACCGCCAGCAGCTAATAACATAATAGCTGTTAAACCTAAACTGAATATTACATTTTGTCCAAAGCTAAAAGAAAATGTTTAAAAAATAATTTTATTTCGACATCTCATTAATTTAAAAACAAACTTTAACATGGCTAAACTGGTTTGAGTTTTAATCGATGCCGATTCATATTCAGATAATGTTTTATCATATCGTTCAATTTCATGAGCTTCATTATTAAAATACTAGTTAATTAAAAATATATGACATATATATAATTTTTATTTCAATAATTTTGGCACCTTAACAGTTTCAAAATTAATGAGTGAATCAAGAGATCGATTGCTTGCTTCGTTATCAGCTTTATTCATTTGAACACGGAATTTCGTTCTAAAAATAAAATATCTATTCAAAGTTTCATACAATAATTAATTTATACCTCCATTGTGTAATAGCAAATGTATATGCAGTATAACCAGCAATACAACTCAAAGCTATATAGAAATTGAAAGAATAGCGTAATTGTACGAAAGAACATATATTAGACTAATATAATAATTGAATTTGAGGAAAATACGCAGAAATTAAAGTTTTGTTTTTGTTATATAAAAACTATGAATCTCAAGCGATGTATCGAAAATATATTTATATATCAATTACCAATAGCACCATATGACAATCCAAATTTATACCACTAGAATAAAGACAGTCAAAAAATAAATAAAATTTAAAAATATCATTCTTACCAAAATTCCACTAACAAGTCCAACTTCAAATATGGTTGGTACAATATTAAATACCAATGCAGTTAAAACGAAACTTATGCCTCTATCAATAAAGACACGATAGATTATTTAAGAAGAAAAAATTGCTTGTTTATTTCTGTCTCACTTGGTTCCACGATCTATGGCTTTTGATAGCGCACCTGTTTGTCTTCCCAAATGAAAACTTAGATCAAGATTATGTATATGTGAAAAAACTCGTTTTGCTAATTCACGAATACTTCGATGAGCTACATTAGCGAATATTGCGTTACGCAATTCACCGAATAGAGCAGCACCAGCTCGTGCAGCACCATCTAAATAATTGTAGGTTTATGCTTTTTATTTCGCTAAAATATCAAACTGAATCTTACATCCTATGAGCAATGCAGTAACCAGAGAAATAATTGCTGACTCTGGTGTATCAAGTTGTAATACTCCACCTTTATTCAGTTCATCAATCGCATATTTAAACATAAATGGAACACTGATGTTCAATAACTAGAAAACGAAAGTTTTTAATTCGACGTATAAAACAGAAAATAAATCTTTTCAAACTACTTTAGATGCTAGTAAAAGTGACAATGCAATTAATACACGAATTTTAACTTGTTTTCCAGTTTTTGGCCAAATAAAATCTAACATGGCCTTCATAACATATCGTGTAGAAAATTTTGGAGGATTTGCATCAGCATTTACTGCTTTAGCAGTAGTAGGATTGCCATGCGATTTGCGCTAAATTAACAGATTTTGTTGTCTATTGAATAAAATCAAGGAAAATAATTACCAAAAAGACACGAATAATATTCTGACTCTGACGAAAGAATGATGAAGATGATTGAGCATTAGCCTATTCAAGAAATCAAGGGGAATCTTTGATATTTTGTGAAAGAATCAAAATATACATACATGATTATAAGCATGATGGAATTTCAGCAAAATTGATGATTTTGAAAATGCTCTCAATGGACTATTTGTTATAGGTGAAAGTCGATATTTATAATTGCATTTAAAGAATGTTGATGAAAAGACAGTCCGCCTTAAAAGCGGATTCATCTTAGAAATAACAAATAAGTTTCTTTTGCAATAATCTATAATAATATTCACCAATTAATATTATTGGATTTTATTTTATTTCAATGAAATTAAAACAATTTTTACTTTCTTGATTGACAATAAATTTCAGATAAGGAATAACAAACACACATACTATAGATTAATATTGGACAGCCAACAACCAGATACGTTAAAATAGCAGTTTCATTTCTCCAAATAGAATGATATAGAAAAATCTCAAAAATGTAATTCAGATATTTTTTGTACAACTTGTACTTATAATTGTGTTGTTAATGCAAATCGAGAATGAAATCCGTCTCTATACCTTTTATCACTTTTTTTCATAATCAGAGTACATTAAAGATTCTTGCAACAAACTCCACGTAAATTATACATGGAAAGAACAATGTTAATTTTTGGTTTGCTAAGTCATAGTGATTCTAAGTAATAAGAAAATTTTCCTCTCACATAATCAACGAGATGATGCTACTTCAAAGTATACGTCATTATTCTTACTCAATATCATAAACAATTGGTTTGTATTTGTGTATCTGTCTTGTGTCGAACAAGAAGAGAAAGTGCCGAAGTAAAAAACTTATTAAATCTTCTAAAAATGCAACCATTACTAATTTGTTCACTTAAATATTCATCTACTTGCTTGAAAACAATATGGTATTATATTTCAAAAAAGCATAACATACGATCTTCTTTTCTAATTATGTTGTAAAAAGATTGTGCGCATCCCAAAGTCAACATATTTTCTGTACATTTTCGATCTCCTTGGAATACCTGCCTTAATAACGCAGTGATTGCAACATTTTTAAGCCAACAAAGTCTCGCCCATACAATACCACACGTATTCTGATTGATCGATTAATGCTCCAATAAAAATCCGAGGTCACCTTTTTTTTATCATTCTTTTTTTCTCTATTTATTTTCTTTTTTCTTGCCAATAGCCGATTGGTTCATGTGGACGGTGTTTGTTTGTCCTAGTTGATTTCAAATATCTTTTATTCAAGGCTGTTATTATTCTACTTATCATTTAGATCAACTGATTTTAACATAGATCATTCTTCTATACATCTCTCAATATGTCAATAATCCGTCAAAAGGACGGACATCCAAACATAAAATTTTTTGAATCAATTGAAACATTAAATCAATTTGATACAATAAGAAAAGCATTGCAAAAAAAAGAATTGAAAAAAATCTTTGGTGATGATCAACATCATTTAACAAAAGACACCATAGCTCAACTTGTTATTCAATTACTTCATTTTCAAGAAGATCATCTTGGAAAACAATCGAATGGTTCAGCACCTCTTATACGGATTCCTGTAAAAAAAAACAAATTTGAATCTATGTTGACTCTAGAAATAATAATATATATTTTTCTATTACAGATGGAATGTTTTCTGGATTTTCGCGAATCAGGTGCACTCTATACAATTATTCTTAGTTGCTATGAATATAAAAATAATAATAACTGGTAAAAAATAAACCTATATGAACATTTTTTAATAATGAAAATTGTTTTTGTTTTGTTCTAGGAAAAAACTTGATTTATCAACTCATAATCGGAATGAAGTAATAAAATTATTTCAACATATTCAAAAATCTTTAATTGAACGTAACGTTCTAACATTACCAATATGTTACCTTCGTCCAGATATTGATAAACGTTTACAAACACAATTAAAACAAATTATTGAAAAAAATAACGGAACTGTTGCAGAAAAAGAAGAGGATGCCGATCATATTGTCTATCCGCCTATAACAGAAAATCCACGAGAAATTGATATCGAACGTGAAAGTATGTAAAAAAAAGGATACGTCTTAAATTAAAAAAATATGAATTATTATTTTAATTTTTTCCTCTTAAAAAATAGACGAAGTCGTTCGCGTCGTTGAAAAACGTGGAAAAGATTGTCGATTACATTATTGGTTTTATCCTGATTCCTTCGATATTTGGGTATCGAATATTGATGCTGAAGAATCAGAAAAACGGGATGACACATTTCAAGGCATTTGGCATGTTGCTGCTAATTGGATTTTAGACGCAGCAGAATTCAATGAATGGATGAATGAAGAAGATTATGAAATAGATGAAGATCTAGTACGCATTTAGAAGTTTTGTTTTTATTTGAAAAAAAAACTTACACTTTTCTCGTTTTAGGGAAGAGATCAAGGAAGAATTAAACTCAAAAATTGTGTAGCTGGAAGAAAAACGTTGTCAGTGGTAAGAACGAAAATTAGTTTGGATAATTTTATTTGAGAGCTCAAGTTTAATTCAGTAGGAATAAAGTAAACCGTACATTAGAATAATTTTATATGCAAAATCTTAAAATTTCAATGATTTCGATATGTAAACTTTATAACGCTGATCATCCTTTTTTTCAACTTTGACCAGTTGATGTTTGTCAACGATAAGAATTGGAAATCCTTGAGGATATGTTAGTCTTAGGATACAATGAGTGTATGTCAATAATAGAAAGTATCGTTTTAATGAACATCAAATTTTATTCATGTACACTGGCAACAGAACCATTTGAGCTGAAACCCATAGCTTGAATTAAAATTATGCTTACTAACATGCGGTGCAAAACTCTTTGCAATAATGTCTAACGTTGTTAGGCCCTGTTGGAGACTTCTAATTCAGCTGACATTTTTCTTGTTGGAAAGAGCTGTGTCTGAACTTCAAATTTTGTGCCAAACATATTTTTCTAGGACGAATCTGAAAATGAGGAAAGCCAAAAGCTAAACGCATGAAAAAGGTTCGTGCAACCTGGAGAAATCGGTATTTTAGACTACAGGAGTAGAATTTTAACAAAACATACACCACAATGTAGAGTTTCAAAAACTAGATCGACACCAGCTTGTGGAAGATTTTTAGATTCATTCTTGAGTCGTTCATAAAAAAAATTGAAAAACGAAATTTTTGTAAAAAAAACTATCAACTTTCAAGAATATATACCAGGAACCATGTGTGAACTCTATTTTTTCCGCTTTATTTATGCGCAATCTATTAGACCTTGGAAACTTGACAGCAAAAATAACTTAACAAATACCTTTTGCAGTTTCAAAATGATGACATTGAGAACGACCAAACGTGTCAGTCTCTCGAAAAAAGCATTATTTCAGTACAAAAACTAAAAGTAAATTTAACTTTCAACACACCATTGGAAAGAGCATCCTTTATGCTACAAAAATCATCATTGATCGTGATTTATTCATTCTCTTTTTCACTTTAAAAGAATCTAGTAGAAATAGAAAATGATACTGCTGGATGGTGAAGTTGCAAGAACTTTTTTTCATGCGTTTAGTTTTTGGCTTCTTCTCATTTCCAAATTAGCCCTAGAAAAATATGTTCGAAACAATATTTCAAGTTCAGACGCTGCTCTGTCCAACAACAAAAAAAGTCAACTGAATTAGAAGTCTCCAACATGGCCTAACACCGTTTGGTATTATTGCAAAGACTTTTGCATCGCATGATAGCACGTCTTAGTGAGAATAGCAAAAGTTTGAACTTGTTCATCCCAGTATCATTGGAAGTCGATCTATGATCGCTTTTTTTTTTATTGAATTTTCTCATCCAGTTTTCTATGTCTACTAGAAAGTGAAATTCGGCTCCTAGAGTATGTCTAATGATTCGTACAATATCTTCTATAGGAAAAATTTGTAACCTACATTTCCTTAATTTACTTTTCAATCAATCTCTAAACCTCCTAAATTGACTTCATCGATTCATATGAATGTACAATTTTAGAGTTTTCTTTCTGATCGTATCAAGGGATCCTTGTAAGTTTACAGCTCGTGCAAATGACTGTTATCAGTTCAGTTTGTTCGAATAGAAAACGTTTGAAATAGTCTATCATAGAATCAATACTGTCAATGAAAGATGTGATAATATTGAACGCTGAACACTTATAAAAATAATTGTTTTCCAATAAATTCTTTGTTGCGCCCATCCATTCTTTTTTTTTTTCTTTCCTTTTCTGTATTTGACATCGCATGGAGAAGAGAAAAAAAATCATCGTTCAGTTGGAACCAACACTAGTGTCATACAAGCAATGTATCGTTCTCGTTCATTTTTCCCTGGCAATAGCTGACGAAGAAAAGCAGTCTTCGTCGTCTTCATCATTTTTTTTTCTTCCTCCCAAATAACCCGTACGTGTAAATGTGGACATGTAAAAAAAGAGAACGACGCTAGGAGTACCCCTGTCAAACGCAGTGCGGGACAATTGAAACTTGCGTTCTTTTCCTTCTTCTCAGTGAAGTGAATTTCAACACAAACTAAGACATGGTAATGATCTATTTAGTCATTAGTACTCATAAGAGAGAACAGAATAACTAATTGATTAATTGAATATAATCATTTTTAGCTTGTTCCTGACCGCAAAACTGAAGCCAATGCAACAACGGTTTCAAGTGCAACAAAAAATAATTCTAAAAAGCGTGCAGCAGGAAATGCGACTTCAACTAAACCACGAAAGTAGATACGAAAAGTTTATTCCAATTAAAAGAAAAATATATGCTTTTTTCCTAATTGAAGGTCAAAAAAGATGTGTGCTGGACTTGATTTAGATGAAAATGATTTATCAAAAGATGGAGAAAATTCTCTGTCACAATCACTTTTCGATGATCAAACGTCATCAAGAACACGTAATAATTTCTTTTTTTCATTTCTAACGAAACCATACTGATAATAGAAAACGAATCTCGTATATTTTAGCAATAACTGGTCAAAAAATGAATGATTCTCAATTGCCACGAGGTGCAACATTAAATGATTTAAATGACGATGGTGATGATATGGATGATCAACAAATTCAAGGTGATTCAAATCAAGTGAAAAAATATAATGATCCGGAAGCATGTGAACAAACTCATCATATTATAATTCCTAGTTATTCAGCGTGGTTTGATTATAATGCAATAAATTCAATTGAAAAACGTGCATTAAGCGAATTTTTCAATGGAAAAAATCGTTCCAAAGCACC